GTCTCTTAAGCCATCCATGCAGTGTGCTGTTGCTAGTGGTAGGGCAAATAGGATTTTAGGTAGTATCTACAAAAATATTGAATACAAATCTAAAGAGGTTATAATTTCATTGTACATGTCACTGGTTAGGCTACTGAAGTATTGTGTTCAGTCTTGGGCTTCTTAGGAAGGACATTGAATTGTTGGAAATGGTTCAGAGGGGATTACTAGAATGGTGCCTGGGATGGAGGGATTGTCATACGAGGAAAGGCTGAAATCTCAAATTGTTTTCTCTTGAAAAAAGAAAGAGTTACAGAGGATTTGATTGAGGTATTTGGGATTGTAAAGGGAATTGATAGTGGTGATGCATCATCTTTTTTTTAATACTTAACAGTGATAATAGTAGGACTAGGGGACATAACTATAAATTTGGGCAAAGTAAGAGTCATCTTCAGCTAAAACAGTTTTATTTTTCTAACAGGATGAATAGGTTGCCTTTGGATATTGTGGAGGCAGTAAATTTAAGTGAGTTTAAGAGAAAGCTTGATAAGTATATGAATGATAAGGGTTGGTTTTAAGATTTTTTCATTTTTTAATTCATTTATTAATAGTTTTAGTTTAGTTCAGAGCAGTAGTCGGCAAGCTATGACCTGCACGTCTCCAAGTGACCCGTGGCAATGATTTGGCTGATCTGCCAAAAGTTGGCTTCACCATTGCAACCAGTGAGGGCATAGTTATTGCTCAGTTTAAATTTCTCGGCTATGTGAGAAGAACAAATATATTAATGGAAAGAGTCACGGCTACAAAAATTTTAAGATCAATTTTAGGGAAAAACATTGAAGCTGGTCAAACTATTTGTGATAAAACTTTTGACCGTAATGCTTCAGGTGTACTGTGCTGTCTTTAGCCGAGAGATTCCTTACTTGTCTGGTGGAAAGTGCTGTATGTGATATATTTTGGTGTTTTTCTAGGTTTTGAGATGAGTATATGGCAAATTATTTATATTTACAGGTAAATAATAGTTTCAGGCTATATATAAGTGATGGTAGTGTTGTATTTATGACAACAGGATAGATGTGTAGGCTACATCAATTGCTTCGTTTCTTTTTCACTGCCATCATGGCTGCAGGGTGGCGTCACCTCACTTCTCACGTGGCTGACACTGAACAACGTGTAAAAATGTACCAAGGAAGTCATTAAATTATGTGTTGCAAAATCAATCAAGATCTGTTTATTTTTCGTTGTTAAATGTATTTGGTGACTGAATCATTTTGTTTGTTTTTTGAAAATAATTAATCTTGTTTGTTGTATGTAAACAAACATACACATTTAAGTACATGTACCTGTATTAAGAATGATATGACTATCACTGACCAACACAATGCTGAATTTTTAAAATATATATATAATTGACCCGCGATCAAAAAAGGTTGCCGACCACTGGTTCAGAGGATGTGACAACCGAGATGGACCAATAGGTCCCATGTTGTCCCAAAACATTGTTATACTAATGTGTACAGGGATGTCTTGAAGACTGTAGGTTACACTCTATGTACAGGGATATATTTGGTTGTCTTTCAACCAATATTTTTGGCCATTTCATTAGATTGGAAATTGTAACAGACATAAACATAAAATTACTCAGTAGGATGCAATATGTAGATCCTGCCGGTAGTAAATAAGTAGGGTTTTTTTAGCCTTAAAATTGCATAGCTATATGTAAATCCCTACTATTGTTGTAACTTCTTTAATGGGAAATAAAAAGTCTTTTAATGATACATATCTTTTTTTGTGTTGAGTTGTTTTTTACCCATCAGATTGAACCCATATTTATATTTAATTTTGAAAAAAAAATTTAAACTGAATTTTGAAGTTTAAACAAAAAATTATGTACTATTATTTCCAGATCATTAAACATGGAACAAGAAGCTAAACAGAAGCAGAATGAAAGAAATGGTCAAAATCAAGAAAGTAGTAAGTTTAATTGTTGATTAAAACACTAGTCTTCATCTGGAAAATAACATGTTGATTAAAACAGTACTCTTTGTACCGACAATAGAAAGTTGATGTTAATATACAGTATAGTCTTTGTTCCGAGAATAGAAAGTTGATGTTAATATACAGTATAGTCTTTGTCCCCACAATAGAAAGTTGATGTTAATATACAGTATAGTCTTTGTTCCGACAATAGAAAGTTGATGTTAATATACAGTATAGTCTTTATTCCGACAATAGAAAGTTGATGTTAATACAGTATAGTCTGTGTCCTGACAATAGAAAGTTGTTGTTAATACAGTACAGTCTTTATTCCGACAATAGAAATTTGTTGTTAATACAGTATAGCCTTTGTTCCGGCAATAGTGAGTTGTTGATTAAAACAATAATTTTCATCGGACAGTCACAATTTCAGTTACTAAAAATATACACGAAGCCCAATATATCATTCGACTGTTGATTAAAACAATAAACCTAATCCAGACAGTAGCAAGTTTACTTGATATTTAAAGTAAAAATGTCCCTCCAAACAAATTGATGTGGAATGTTTTTAATTGGTTAAAATGTTTTTGAATTGTACGATTAAATATTACTATTAAATTTTCTTTCGTAATTTGAGATTCTAGTGCAGCCCGAAACTTCGTGCAGTAGAAAAATTGTTTTAATAGAACTACACATATTCCCCCCTAGTGACAGATCTCGATTACAGTTGACTTTTTAAAACTTTTGGGTACTGCACGAGAGGATTGTTATAAACACGTTATAAATGTATTTGTGTGTATGTATACTCCAAACCCCAGGTTTCGTAAGATTTATTATTATTTTGTAATCTTACGACTGTTTTTGAATTTCTTAAATATTTTGCCAGACAGTTACTTACGTACAATTAAAAAAAAAGTTAGATTTTTTAAACTGTTTTTCGTTTAGCGCAGTGAGTGCTGTTTGTTACCAATGATAAAAGAACACAATATCGTGTATAGCAATTAGTTAAAAACCACAGTAAACGGAACAAACTGTCAGAAGTCTGATATTAGAGAAACTGGTTTCCACACATTCGTGCATCCTCCTCAGAAGAGAATGTGAGAATGAAGAGGACGCAAGAATGTGTTGAAACTAGTTTCTCTAATA